GCTGGGGGTTTAGCTCAGTGGTTCCGCCACCTACCTCACAAGCACAATCGATCCCCGGTACCAAAAAAAAAAGAATATATGGGACAGCTAGGAAAAGGCATTCTCAAATTTGATAGATCTAGACTTCTTTAAGTCAAAGAGAAAAGGACTAACAACTTCAAAAAAAAAAAAAAAAGAATATATGGGCTGGGGATTTAGCTCAGTGGTTCCGGTGCCTGCCTCAAAAGCACAAGGTCCCGAGTTTGATCCCTGGTACCAAACAAACAAACAAACAAACAAAAAAAGAAACTGAATAGAGCACTGGGCTTGGAGGTATACCCCTGTATCCCAGTACTCTGGGAGGCTGAGGCAGGAGGATTGCAAGTTGGAACCCAGCTCTGGCAATTTAGCAACTTAGTGAGACCCTGTCTCAAAAAAAATAATAATAAAAGAAGACTGGAGATGTACCTTAATGTGAAGGCCCTGAGTTCAATCCCCAGTACTGGAAGAAAAAAAGAAGAAAGAAGAAGAAGAAAAAAAGAAATGGGGCAGGGGATTTAGCTCAGTGGTTCCACCGCCTGCCTTTCAAGTGCAAGGTCCCAAGTTTGATCCCCGGTACTAAAAAAAAAGAAAGAAAGAAATCAATGGCCATGTGTGTAAAAGGATTAAAACTAAATCCACTCTGGGCAGGAAAAGGAGACACTGAATAGATATAACTTCAGGAAGAACTTCCTGCCCTCAAAGCCAAGAGCCCTCAATGCATTTCCTGAACAGATGATGGAGATGCCTTCTGAGTGAGGAGGGTGCCCTGGATTTGAGACTCAGCCCTGCCACTGACCAGCTGCATAACCCGGGTATGCACTGACCCTTCTCTATAACATGAGGGGTGGGTTAGAATCTAATTCTAAACCTTGGCTGTATTGAAGACCCCAGCCAAGAGTCTCCATCTCCTGAAAGGCAATACAACGGTAAGCGAAGGAGACACAGAAACAAGACTTAAAAAGAAAGTGGGGAACTGGGATAGGCCATGCCAAGCATGTGGGGAGAACCCAAGCAACCAGGACGGTCGGTATTTATTGATGACACAAGCATGCGTAAGAATAGGGTAGGGGGCTGCATGTGGCACTGGTGATATCAGCTGAGACAGGCAAAGCTGTAGGCAAGGAGGGTAAGGCATTCTAGCAAAAGGAGCAGAACAGACCAAAGGTAGGTCATGGTTAACTATTAAGCTACTGAAACAAAGGAATGGTAGCTCTAGGAATGGAATGTGGATTGGAGCCACACAGTCCTTGCTGCAGTGTTATCTCACTTAGGAGCCCTGCAGCTTCACAAATCAGGACTTAGATCTCAGCTGCAGCGGCTGGTGTGGAAGCTGTACTAGCCTGAGGGACCATCCGACGTGCTCCTGTGATCCTGTGAGTCACATAGGCTTTGGTCCAGCTCTGAATGCAATGTGGCCAATTGTAAGGAAAGAATGCCTGCTCCATACGAGAGCCCGCTCTAAGCCCGGCCAGGGGGTCTGCCACACCCACTGCATATCCCGGGCATACACTCTCCCTTCTCTGTAATGTGACGGGGTTGGGTTAGACTAATTCTAGCTCCTGGCTGCACAGTAGAATCACCCGAAGAGCTGTTGAGACTCCCAGTACCAGGCTGCAACCCTGACCAACTAGGGTCTAAGAGGGGGGTCTCCCTCTGAGAACTGCATGATTGAGTTGAGATGCACAGGGTAGGTGGTCTGCAGTCTCCATCATCTTCTGCAGCAAGTCCAGAGGGGGCCTCAGAAGCAACGCATGCATCCTTCCGAGAGTCCACCTTCTACAAAATTCAATGATTTGAGACCCCAAGTGGACAGGCTCCTGCCCCAAGTGCCAGCCAGCTGATTCTCCTCATTCATCCACCCACAAATATTTACTGAGCGCCCACTGAATGCGGGGCCTCTTCTGGGTGCCCGAGAGTCCAACCGTGCCCAAGTCAGAACCTCTCTGTGTTAACTCTGGGACCGACCTGAAAGCAGAGTCGAGACAGAGGAGGGCAGGGTGGGACAGTGGCGGTGAAGGGGACGGGTGGTGGGCGTCTGCTGACCCCCACCAGGCCCCACACCCGCACCATTCCTCTGAGGTTACTACGCAGCTGGCCTTGCTAGCCAGCCTCCTGCTCCTCTCCTTCCCCTTCTCCTCCAAGTCTGCCGGCTTAATATCTGGGTTCAGCAAACCATGCTAGGATCACAAAACCCCTGTTCCCTGCTCCCAAGTGTGCCGTGTGTGCTCCCAAGGCAGGAGCGAGCTCCCCGTGGGAGGCCTTGAGCCTCAGGGGCGCAGATGTAATTTCGAGGCGAAGGCCTGGGGTGGGACTGCCTCTCTGCCTTTCCAGGCGGACAGCGGTGCCCAACAGCGCATGCGCCCCGCGGCCCTCGGCTCTGCACCGCTAGAGGGGCTGGTAATGGTTCCCCCTACTACCTTCCAGAGTGCAGTGCGGAGGAAACAAGCCAGCGAAGGCGTGGATGAAGCCCGGGGCGGGAGAAGTTCGGGCGCTTGTTCCGAGGCCCGCGGTGGGTGCCCGGCGTCGTCCTTCTTCCCCCTTCGAGCGAGCCGGGGGCCTTGTCACCCCCGCACTGTCCCGGGCGCCCACAGCGGCGAATATCTGGGCGCTTGTTAGAAATGTGAGGGTTTGGCCCCAGCGCAGCCAGGCTGAGTCAGAAACTGAGCTCAGAAAGGTTAGTAACCTGCCCAAAGCCACACAGCGGGTAAGAAGGGGAGCGGAAGTGTTCTCCCTGTTACAGCGACGGGGCCCCAAGACCCGCCGGAAGACAGGAAAATGCTTCTCACCGCCCCCTGGTGGCCAGAGAGCGAACAACACCCAGCCTCCCGCTCGCCCAGACGACGAAGCCGGTCTGGAAGGCGCCAGGACCGCACAGAACCAGGCTCACCCAGGCCTTGCTCAAGACTTGAACCGAGACCAGCCCGGAGCCAAACCCCAAGTCCGTTTCCATTGGGACCAGGCACAGCCAGCCGATGACCTACCTCCTTGGGAATCAGCCTCCAAAATGCTGCTTCCATCCCGGAGTTCCGGGGGCAGAGGCCCTCCCCTCTGGAGTTCAGCCGGGATCCCGCCAGTCAGCCTCTGTGGCCTTGGGAACCCGGTACAAATGCACGTTCTGAGGCCCACTGGGTTCCTGGCCACCTGTAGGTGTGAGAGCCCCTAGGTTAAGGGGTCCTGTGGGGAGAGGCAGAGCAGCCAGGGCACTCCCTGGCTGAGTGGAAAGAGCGTCCTTGTCCCCTGAGGGCCACAGGAGAGACCTGAGGAGTGAGGCCCCTGCCAGGGTGGCGCTCAGCCTTGGGCACAGCGTGCTTCGCCCTGCCCCCTGCCGCAAGAGCTTGTTCGCGCAGCTGGCTGGTAGCCTGGCCCCAGGATAAGGTCACAGGCGAGGCCTCGGTGTCCCCCAGACCTGTGACCCGGAGGCCTGGGCCTCCACTTAGGATCTGCTGTCGGGCGGGATGGGGATGGGGAAAGCGTGGGGCCCAGCTGCCTCTGCCCCGGGGTCCAGCGGAGGCGGGGCCGAGGGCACCCAGGTTGGGTCCTGGGAGCGTCTGGCTCCCGCGGGGCTCGGCACTGGGCTGTCACAGACCATCCCGTTACTTCTCTTGGAGGAACCTGGACGGTTGTTGCCAGCCAATGCTTCCCCTAAGCTGTACCCTCGCGTGACACCGTGAGTGTGAGGATGTGCGTGTGCGCGCGCGCGCCTGTGCTGAGGGTGGGGGACAGAGATGTGCCAGTGCACTCAGCGTACCTGCAAAGCCGTGGGAGACGTACTTTGCCCCAACGCGCACACGCACACACCCCCTCAAGGCCCCCTTGAAATTCAAGTGGTCAGAAATAGTTCCTAACGCGCCCAGGAGAGGGCGTGCTTCCCCACTGTGGGGTGGAAGTGGCCCTGCTCCTGACTGCTGGCGGTTTTAGGGCTTAGGAACAGCCAGGTGTGCTTGTCAGCCAGAGAGTGATTTCAGGAACACAAAGAACACACTGGCCTCACCCAGGCTCCTCCGAGGCCGTCTGGGCATTCCCTGGGCCTAGGCCGGTTTCGAAGGCGAACACCCTGATGACCTGGAAGGGAGGCCGCTGCCCCTTTTGTGACCCTGAGGCCGAAGGAGTTAAGGTTTGAGAAGCTGCAAGGTGAGGTGAACGCGGGGGCGGGCAGAGGCACAGGGGGCAGAAACGGCGAGGCCAGGCCTCCCGTCCTCTGTCCCGGAGAGGAAAAAGCCTGGGCCGGGCAGGGGGCCCTTCTGTCCCAGTGCTGCGGGCGGGAGCGGCCCGGTGTCTTGCCGTTGGCGTTCGCGAGGAGCGGAAGCTATCTTGGTTTCCCAGCTCCTAGCACCGGGCCTGGCAAAGCTGCGGAGCTCGGCAGATGTGCAGTCCGTGAGATCTGAGCGTCCATACGAGGGGGCCGCTCCGCGCTCCGCAGGGCAGCCTCGCGTTTGTCCTAATAGCGGTTCTGCAGCTCATGCCTCCGCGTTACCACACAAGTTGCTTTTGCGCGATGCCCAGCGCTGCGCCTGCACGCAGGTGGACCCCGTGGGGCGGCTGTGTATTGCTTGGCTCGTGGCTAGCCGTCCCCCCAAAGCCTCATGCGAACGAGGTGGGACTATCGCGAAGGTGGCTGGATCCAGCGGGTGTGATTCATGCTGCAGTGCTAGGCCCCAGGGCAATAGGATGAAGGGCGTGAGGGCTGCCCGCCCTAAGGGGTCTGAATAAGATAAAAGGGGCAGAAAGACTGTTAAGGCCCCTTGTTGCTTTTGCTACCTTGTGGGCGCCACCAACTGTTTCTCCTGTGTGACACCCCTTTGCTATGTGGCACCCTGCCCTGGAGCCACCTGAGTGTGGACTGAAACCTCTACAAGTTGTGAGCTAAATAAACCCTTTCTCCTTTAACCTTGGGTGTCCGGTTGTCTCAGCAAGGAGAGGAAAGTAACGGACATAACAGTACTGAGCCCCATGCTGCATCAGCACCGCGTCTTCCCAAATCAGCCACTCGCTTTCCAGTGGGTGTTATTGGAGCCAACGTTCTATTAAGACCGATTCTTAAAATGAGGGTTTTACCCACCTAACTTGTTGAGGACATATGTGACTTCTGCTTAAATTTAATCCTCACCGCAAACCTGCAAGTTATTACTTACAACACTGGGGATTGAACCCAGAACCTTCAGACTGAGTCACATCCCCAGCCCTTATTATATATTTAATTTTTTTTGCTTTTTGAGACAGCATCTCACTATGTAGTTCAGGCTGGCCTTGAATTCACAGAGATCCTCCTGCCTCAGCCTCCTGAGTGCTGGGAATACAGCCATGGGCTACCATGCTTGGCTATTCTTAAATTTTGAGACAGGGTCTCACTAAGTCACAAAGATCCCCAGGCTGAGCTCAAACTTGGCATCCTTCTGCTCAGCCCCCAGAGTACTGGGAATTACTATCTTGTTTAACAAAGGAAGAAACAGAAAGCCAGAGGGTTTTCATTACTTTCCCGAGATCACAGACAGTCAAGTTTCAAATCTAAGATGTGTGGCTCCCGAAGGCCGTGTGGAAACAGCCTGCACCCGTGATGGCTACTCCTGAAAGGCTCCTGGTGCAGCTGAGGCAGAGGTGACCCACACAAACAGCATAATCTAACCACGTAAGGAAGCTGTCTTAAGAATAATATCACCAAGCACTCTGCAGGTGTATCAGTCAGCTGCGCGTTCCTATAACAAAGGACCTGAACCAAGTAACACATGAAAGGAAAAAGGTTATTTTGGCTCACGGTTCTGGAATCTCCAGACCAAGACTCTGCAGCCTGTTCCTTTGGCGTTGGGCAAAGGTGGCACATCGTGGAGGGAGCAGGGGCCACAGCAAGCCCTTGTATCACGAACCGGGAAGCAGAAATGCATGTCGAGGCTGTCAGTGGCTTACAGGCCACGCCCCTGGTGACCTGAGGCCCTCCTACCAGGCCCCTCATCCTAGGGGTCTACAGCACCCCAACCAGCTCCACCCTCAGACAGAGCCTTTAACAAGTGGACCTTGGGAGACATTCAACGTCTAAACTACTGCAGGGGACAAATCTACGCCACACATGTGAGAACTAAACTCCTGATTCTGCAGCGGGAATCTTTGTCTGCCAATGAATCCCACCCCAACTGGAGCCCGTCTGTCTTGGTTTGGGGTCAAAATGTTTTGGAGCATTTAGGATTGAAACCGCTCTTGCCCTTACCTCAGTCTCACTATAACCTTTCTGAAAACTTGGTGCGTCAGTTGGTCACAGGGTTTGGGGCCAGTTCAGTCCCTGGAGGAGTCACGTTGCCAGGAACAGAGACGAGCTCAAGCACCATCTGCCCACCAGCCCGTAGGGCCCGACCAGAACTCAGGTTTCTACTGGTTGCTGCCAGTTTGTCCTCTTCGTAGTCAGCACTTCACCGTGAGCTTAACTAAGAGCAATGGAAAGACAAGTGCAGGTTCGAATCTATAGCCAGAAGGCCTGTGGTGTCACGAGTCTAAATGGGAGGGGAGGTGGCGATGTCCTCCCTGAGCTAATACTTTCTCCTTCTCTCGGGGCCCAGCCTGCTCTCCACACCTGCGATACCGGCAGATGCCGTGTGAGTTAAGGTGCCCCATTCCGCTTGGTTGCCGGTGTGCTTTGGTCTCACCTCTCCTGAGGGGCCCGCGACACTGAATTCGCTGTGAAACATCATACAGCGACTTTCCATCCACGGGACCCTGTCCCAGCGCCTGAAATCACTTCAGGGCAGGCTGCCACCTAAGTTTGATGCAGAGAGCAAGAAGGAATGTGGAGGGGCAGGTGGCACGGGCCGGGAAGCTGAGACTGGCCAGGTGGGAAGGAGAGAGAACTTTTCTTTGCTTCTTTGCTTGAAAAGAATGGTAATTTTTTATTTTCCTGGATGGAAGTTTTTGCCACTGAAATGCTAAAATGTAATTGTAGTGATTCTCCATGGGATCTGAGAAAAGTGTTAAAAGTTTCTATTTATTATATGGCAAGTGGTAACAGATAAAGTGCTATTCACTTCAAGTAACTTCGTGATGTTTGTCTCACAAATGTATTTCTAAAACTAAGCCGTCCTGGAGCCCTTACCTTGAAATAGATAATTTAAATGATATGCTAGCTTGCCGTCATGTGATGAAATACCTGGCTCATAGAGGAAAGGCTTATCTTGGCTCACAGTTTTGGAGGTTCAGTCCATGTGGCTTTTGGACCCGTGGTGGCACACCATGGTGGGAGTGTGTGGCCCAGAAAATCTGCACACCTTGTGGCCGGGAAGCCAGAGAGGAAGGGGCAGCTTCCCAGTCCCCTTCGAGGGCACGTGCCAGTGACTCCAAGGCCTCCTGCTAGGCCCCACCTCTTAAAAGTTCCTGTGAATAGCACTTCTCCAGGGGCCAAGTCTTTAACACATGGGGCTCCTGGGGACATTCAACCCCCAAATCACAGCAGATGACATGGGCAGACGTGGTGGTGGCAGTTTTTCCCAGGCCTCTCATGTTAGGAAAATGCTCTACCACTGAGCTACATCCCCAGTGCTGGCATTTCTTTAGAGCTACCAATTACTCTGACTCACTAGAGACCTCTGATCCTCCTACTCCACCTGCTCCCTGTCCTCTCACAGCATCTATTATTGATCAACTGAATTCCAGGTCAAGTTATTTATTTTGTGGTGCTTGGGATTGAATCCAGGGCTTCTGCACTGAGCTACATCCCCAGCCCTTTTTATTTTTTGACACAGGATTTTGTTCAGTCGTTGAGTTGCCCAGGCTGTGACTGAACTGGGAATCCTCCTGCCTCAGCCACCAGAGTGCTGGGATTACAGGCACGTGCCCCGCAGCCAGCTTCTAGTCGAGTAACTTACAGATGTTTCTTTGGACTGGTACTGGCATATAATTGTGTTTTTTTGCATATCATATTTACTTGCTCTTTTTGTGCTTCTTGGAGTCTGCTGCTGTCTTTATCAAGAAAACCCACCTTGTCTAGTCTTTGCTGACTGACTGGCCAGGGGCGCAGACTCTGGATTTGCCACCTCCACTGGCAGGGTGCTCAGAGCTCCCCGTTGTTTTCCCTGGGGTGCTTGATGCAGGAAACCCTGCTCTTCGGGAGCCTCCTTCGACCCTGCAGCACCGCACAGGGTGTGGGTCAGCCTGGGCAGCGGACAGTGTGGGCCGCTTCCTGCCGAAGCCTGGGCGGAGCTAGCAGCTTCCTGCTCCTGCCTCTCCCACTCAGCCAGGCCAATCACCTCGGGGGCCGGGCTGGGAAGCAGGGAGGTGGCCCCTTGGAAGCACCCTGCAGGGGAGGGAAACGCCGGTCGCTCAGGACTCTTTCCCCCAGCAGGGAAAGCAGGCATTGACAAGCCTTTCTTGGCGCCAGGCTGGGCCATGCTTTTAGCTTCTTCAGAGCATCTGCTGTGATTTTCTTTTGCTCGAACTGTGGCTGCTGAAAGCTCTGCCCGGGGCCCGACTCCCACAGGTGGTCCTGCCGGTGGGCGGTCATCAGGTCAGTGTGAGAGCGGAGCGCTCCTACCTGGCCTCTCGCTGACGGCGCGCTCTCCAAGTTATTGTAAAATGAATAAAATATTTTAGTTTCTGTTTTATCCCTGACCCTTGGAGGCCTTTGTTTCTTTGTGTTCCGTAAACGACCTCTTTTCCTCCTTGGCCCACTGTGAAATCATAATCCCTTTGACTCCAGGGAGTAACTAAATACTGGAACTTTTATTTCAAGGCATACAAAATGAACATTAAAAAAATAAATTTATTTTTGAGTCTGAAATAATGAAGAACAAGCATACGGACAAACTGTAAAAAGAGCAAAAATTAGCACATGAATAATGACAGAAGACCCAAGCGTTCTTCCAGCTAATACACACAAACATATTTTTACATATAGACATTGTGAAAACATATTTCTAACACTGTCATAAAAACAAAAGCTACATTTGCAACATTTATAAATGTAATAGCTTCTGAACATATCCAGTGTTTCTTTCCTAAAACCCTTTGATTAAAATACACACAAGTGATGATTACCTATGTTATTTTTGAAAGTTAAACATACAATCATGACATTCTTGTCCGACACATTATAAATAACTTTCACAAAAACCAGACAATTACCAATTCATTTTATATTTTTGTCACTCATACTCTCTTTTGAACAAGGACAAACAAAACATGTATGTATATGTTTCAGAAATAAATTATTCCAACTTTTTATTTGTTCAAAATCTCAGAAACTCAGTAAGCATGTGATTATTTTAAACAATAAAAATAATTATTTGGGAGGAACTTTAAAATATATTTCTGGCCAATTTAATCCATGATGTAAATATCAAAAGAAGCTGGCGAATGGGCATATTCTGCCTGGGCTTCTGCTACCAACTAAAAAGAGCTGAAATCCCTTCTATCTAAGAGTAAAAATCACAATTGTTTATTCAACTGTCCAGGGAATTTTTTTCTGTTTGAGTTCTTGTGGTACACTGATTTAGTCTACTCTATAACGAATGGTATTTAACATTTTAAAAAGATCTTTGAGATCAAAGTGAACACATTTCACGGACTAGGAAAATCCTGCCTGGACAGGGTAAATGACTTGTCCAGAGTTACAGTGAGACAGGAACACGGCCAGGGCATGGAACCAGGGTTCTTGATTCTTAGCTATGTTCTTCTGGTAACAGAATACATTCTCTAGGGTCAGATTCTATATAATTTATAGTCATTTGATTACAGATAACATAGTCTCAATTTAAATCAGCATACATACTCTGCTTTAATCAAAACTGTTATTCACATAAACATGTTCATTACCTGATTGGGTTTGTTGCATGGACATAATGTAAATATTATGGTGGAGCAAACATCACTACTGTAAAGATATTTCACCTAAGCTTAGAGTCAGGACATCGACAAGATTTAGATTCTCACTGTAAACAGAACGCAATGCTAGGCACTGTGGAGGGGCATTTGGCCCTGTTTCTCCCAACCGGAGCATGCAGGGAGCATCTGGGGCGGGTAGAGGAGCAGCCAGCCAGTGCCGAAGGACAGACTGAGGAGAATGGGCAGGCAAACGACACTGCACAATCAGGACAGTCAGCATTTCAAGGTCTCCACTAAATGGGGACACCCAGGCCATCTGAGGTTACAGATCTTTGAGGCAACACTGTAGGGCGTGATGTAAGAAATCATGAAATGGCCATAAAAAACCTATCATGAATTTTCTTGCTAGAAAGTTACATACTGAATAAAAGGCAGTAAAAAAGGCCACTGGGTATAAAACTTCTCTGTTTCAAGCTGGACTGAAAACTATAGTGTTAGCATTTATCCACGATACGAAGGCGTCCCAGAAAAGAACTCCAGACAATGTGCCCTGCGTCTGGCATGCTTGCTTACCTAGGACACAATCCTATGACCAGCCGCGTGTAGTCTCTGAACACAGACAGCTTCTGTGGTCTTCGACAGGACCTGCTACAAAGCACTATGCAAGAAGTACAGGAACAGGGCTGCCCTCGAAGCCCACGCTTGTTGAGTGTGCACACTGCATACTCTGGAGGGCAGCACAGCAGAGCGCCTTGGCCCCACTGAATATTTCCTATGTAAGTTGCACAGACTCTTACGAGAACCACACCCCTCAGAATCACTGTAGAAAGTCTAAGCTTCCACTTTCTTCAAAAAACAAAACAAAAGTGGGCTGGGGATTTGGCTCAGTGGTTCCGCCACCTGCTGTGCAAGCAGAAGGATCCGAGTTCGAGCCCGAGCACCCAAAAAAAAAAAAATCCAGCTAAAAAACAAAAGAAAAGGGCCGGGGGTTTAGCTCAGTGGCACTGCACCTGCCTTGCAGGCTCAAGGTCCTGAGTTCGATAGCACATACCAAAAAAGCAAGACAAAACAAAACACCAGAACACGGGGGATTGAACCCTGGGCCTCGTGCCCACCAGGTGAGGACCCTAGGGCCAAGCTGCATCTCTAGCCCCTTTCTTCTGAGACAGGGCCGCACTAAGTTGCCCAGACTGGCCTCAAACTTATAAATCCTCTTGTCTCAGAGTTTCCTAAGCAGCTGGGGTTACAGGTGTGCACCACCACATCCAGTAAGAAAATACCTTTGAACAATAAATGTCAGCGGATTACTTTCACGCACGATACACGACTGAAAATGGGACACTAATGAGATGAGTGGGAGTGTTAACATGATGTAAGCAAAATACTGCTTAAATAATTAAGCAAAATAATTGTTCATTTAGAGCTTATAAGTAATTTTCAAATAAACGCCTGTCCCTGTCACTTCTACTGTGAGCTTCACTGTTCACACCTCCCCACAAGTCAGCACGCTGCATTCCACTGACCGAGGGACAGTAACTTTCCCTTCCACTTCAGATTGATGCCTCTGACTGGATGGATAATGTGGCAACTTTTGGCTTCTGATCTGTGGGGCTTTCAACGGGCACCTGCGGAGAGAAGCAGAGTATAACAATTGTACTGCGCCTGCGTGCACTATTTTAGCAGATCAACAGCTGATTCTGAAAGAAAATGCTGATAAATAAGAATGGCTTCACACTTACTCCATGTGTAGTTTTCTCAGAACAGTCATAAAAGGAAATGTTACTTACAGCTTTAATTTCAGCATTTGTGATGCCTAGATTTATGTTGTGTCTTCTTAGGTCAGACTTGATTAACGCTGAAACAGAGAATCGCAAATGGAGTTACCAAAACCTGTATCATATTTTTCCCCAAGCAGCACAGTCCTCTTCGGCATTACCAAACTGAACTAAAACACTATAAAGCCGTATTATTCAGTAGCACACTTGTAGCCTGGAAAAGATACCTAAGACTATCTTAATCAGTGAACAAATGGGGAATACAAAGTGAAAAGCACATTCTTTGCACTGCAGGATTCTGTACTCTAAGGAAATATCAGCAGGTAAACAATTCTAACACTGATCAATTGTGATACCGCAGACATATACAGGTATAGAGGGAACGTGGGAGAAAAATGCCTCCACAGCCAAAGGGAACCAGAGAAGGCTTGGCAGAGACACACTGGGCCCCAAGTGACACTTCAGACCCCTCGGTGGGGCAGCACAGCCTGACAGCAATGAGCCCAGAGGCCGAGGCCCAGCCTTAGAGATGACCCTGCCGAGAGGCCGTAAGTGACTGTGATTTGGTAGGATTTGGAGCCAGGAGGATTTGGGGATTTGATGGGATATGAAAAAGATATGGGAGGGAGGAGAAAAACTGGGTAGCGTCAGTTTCCTCACTTGGGCAATTGCATGGATGGGAGCCCTAGTACAGTGGACCCTTGACTTACGAACTCAACTCATTCACCAAGGCTGGTTGTAACTCAAGGTGGTCAATCAATGAAGGCCCAGGGTCCTCTACACAGCCCTCAGAGTCTCTCTCCTGTACACAGGCAGATCTCAGTGTCCTTAGAGACACTGGCCCAGGATTTCTCAATTAACCCCACACAGGAAAAGACTTAAGGTTCCTTCCAGAACTCTGTAAGGGTTAAATCTGTCTCTGAGACCATCTGGAAGCACAGTGGCTGGCATTTGGGTCTTAACTCAAGACTTTGTTGGTAAGTTAAAACTAAAATGCCTGGGCATGTTGATTACGAGATGGCCACAGAACACGGAGGTCAGAAGATACGACTGGACATACTGGTCTGAAATGTAACGGAGGTCAGGGCTGGAGACGTGGATTTCTAAGTTAGTAGCATTAAAGTGGTAGTGTGAAAGCCACAGATGGATCAAAGAGTATAAAATAAGAAGACAAAAGTTTGTAGGCAGTAAATAAGAATTAGCCATAAAGCTAAGTAGAAACAAAGATGAAGATCAGTGGAACATCACGGTCATGTATATACCACCAGAGGATGAAGCCAATGGGGATGTGTTAACACAGTACACATCATCATCCGGTTCCATCCATGGTGTCACAATGACAGGATTTTTTCATTCTTTTTAATGGATGAATAATATTCCACTGTATAGATATATTTTCTTTATCCACTCATCTGTATTGATGGGAATGTACACTGAACCCATATTTTGGGTACTGTGAATGGTGCTACAACAAACAGGAGTTCAAAAAAATTTTTTTTACTGATTCCTTTTGGATCCTCAGTGAGACTGCTGGATAATATGGTAACTCTATTTCTAGTGTTTTTGAGAACTCCATTTTGTTTTCCATGATGGCTATACTAATTCATACTCCAGCCAACAGTGCATGACAGTCCTCTTTTCTCCATAATCTTGTCATCACTGTGTTTTGTCCTTTTGTTAACAGCTATTGTACTTGGGGTATGATGAATCTCATTGTGGTTTGGACTTCTATTTCCCCATGATTAGTAATGTTAAGCATTTTTTCATATTCTTGGCCATTCATCTTCTTTTGAGAAATGTCTACTCAGACCATTTGCACATTTTTAATGATTTGTTATTTTGCTGTGGAATGTAGTTTCTTCTGCCTAATTCCTTGCCAGATGAAGTTTGCAATTATTTTCTATTCTGTAGGTTGTCTCTTTACTCTGTGGTTTACTTTCTGTGCAGAGCTTTGTAGCTGAGTGTAATCTCACGTGTCAAGTTTTGCTTTTGTTGCTCGTTTCTGAGGATCATACAAAACAATCTTTGGCCCAGACCAATGTCCTGAACAATTTCTCATTCCTTTTTGTTTTCTAGTTTGGGTCTTACATTGAAGGCTTGGACTCACTGTGAGTTGGCTTTTGAATATTCTGTACTCTTGCACACATAGGTGTCCTGTTTCCCAGTGTCATTTACCAAGATGCTCTCGTCCCCCCTGCACGTCTGGATAGATGTGGTTTACTGCTGGGTTGCCTGTTCCGCCCCATTACCATCCTGGGTCCCTGTTGCCGTGTAGAATGTGTTGAAGTCAGAGATTGTGAGGCCTTCCATTTTATTCTTTCTGCTCAGTACTGCTTTGGTTATTGGGGTCTTTTGTGGGTCCATAAAAATTTTGGGAGTGTTTTCCCATTTCTGGGAACAGTCACTGCCATTACGATAACACTGACTCTGTAGACAGTTTTGGGTATTACGTTCATTTTAACAATTTTAACTCATCCAATCCATGAATATATGATATCTTCTCCATTTTATTCATCAGCATTTTATGATTTTCATTGTAGGGTTCTTTCATCCCTATTTAATTAATTTATTTATTTTTTGGTATTGAGGATTGAACTCAGGACTTTGGACTTGCCAGGCAGCTGCAGTGCCAGGGAGCTACATCCCTGGCCCACATTTTTTGTAATTATAAATTAATTTCTGTTCATCTGATGTGAGCACAGCTATTTCTGTTCACTTAAAATTTGCTTATTCTATCCCTCACTTTGTCTTTATGTGTGTATTCTGTTAGTGAAATGAATTTCTTGTAGGCAACATATGATTGGATCTACTAAAAAACTAGTCTCTTAAATCCATTCAGTTTATCTAAATTTTTTAATTGGAGATTTTCATCTGTTCACAAAGTTACCTCTGATAGTAACAAGCTACACCTGTCATTTCTTAAATGTTTTTCCCTCTGTATAGCCTTTGTTTTCTCCTTGCTCGATGTTAATCTTTGTGGCTGGGTGGTTTTCCATAGTCACAGGTGTAATTCCTTTCTCTTTCTTGTGTGTCTATTCGAAGTAGTGAGTTTTATAATTCTGTGGTTTAATATGGGTAGTGTTCTTTTAAGCATTTCCTTTTTTTTTTGGTACCGGGGATCGAACTCACGTTCTTACACTTGCGAGGCAGGTGGCGCAACTACTGAGCTAAATCCCCGGCACTTATGCATTTCCTAGTAATGCGTGCCTTCGGTTTTCACATATCTGAAAAGGCACCATTTCCCCTTCAGTTCTGAAGGGCAGCTTTACTGGGTACAGAATTCTTGGTTGGCAGTTTTTATCTTGTTTTGTTTTCTTTCAACATTCTTGAATATACCATCCTATTCTTTCCTGACTTGCAAATTTTGTTGAGAAATCTTCCATTAGTCTAATGGAGATTCCTTCATATGATGTCATTTTTCTCTTGCTATGTTCACAATTCTTTGTCTTTGTTACCTTAATTATAATGTGTCTTGGAGACGACTTCTTTGGGTTGAACCTAAATGGAGTTGAGTTTCATGATCTATATATCCATACCTCCCAAGACTTGGGAAATCTTTAGCTATTGTTAAATATGCTTAGCCTCTCAGAGTGCTGGGATTACAGGTATGCTCCAGCACAACTGAAAAGATCTCTGCGTTTTTTAGTAGTAGCCTTTTTAGTATATGTGCTGCTGAAGCGAGCACAGCGGTACCCTTTCTGTTGAATTTCTTTCATATTATGAATTGTATTTTCTTGTGTCTCACTCAACATCCCTCATATCATTAACTTTTCAGACATTTTATAAATTTCCTAATAATAGACAATCACTGCATACTCTTGAGGGTTCCATATTTCCTTGTTTTCTCATGTTTGTGTCTTTGTGTTACATGTGCACATCTTATGCAACAGGCATCTTTTCCAACTTCATGGGCTTTTGAAACTTTTTTAGGAGAGGTTATTTCCTGTGAGGGGTGCTAGGCTGTCAGCGGGGTGTGGTTATATTAGCTTTGATTCTGGAAAGATTCCGTAGTGTGTTCCCTGCAGTTTCTCAGCTGTAATCCTTGTTAGCCATGTCAGTGGTTGTGCTGGTGACCTAGACTACAGGTGCTTGTGACTATGGTGAGGTGGTATAGTTTTGCTGGGATTGGGGTTGCTGCCTGGATGGCTGGTAGCTATGGGGCTTGCCACTGGTGGGGCTGCCATCTGGCTGGTTGCTGGGCCAAGCATAGGTGCATGTGGGTACGGGGGACCATGGGCTTCATGTTGGCTTCTCTGTGCTCATCTGCCTGTTCCTTGGGGAATGGGGCACCTCATGGGTCTGAATGTCCTGTCTCAGCCTTTGTCTGGGGCTTTGGCTCTGTTATTGCAGCCACCCACGAGCATGGTGGAATGGTGGCATCTCAAGAATGGATCTGCTGTGACTACCAGCTACCAGAATGGACCACACTCTTGCACTGGGTCTGGTTTCAAGACAGTGGCAAGGACTGGCAGCTTAGGCCATGAGCCTCAAGAGTGTACAACGGTGGCGTTTACTCTGTGGCAATACAGCTCATGAACTATAACAGCTCTCTAAACTCTACTCAGGGTCTGTGACATCTGAAGGCTCCTGTGTAGTCATCTGCAGCAGCAGAGGGGATCTTGGGGTTCTCTACCTTACCTGTTCCCCATAAAGACAGGTCTCTCTTGGCTCCAAGCCAATCTGGGCAGAGGAGAGTGTGGGAGTGGCAGGGCACCTTGCTGTCCTCTTTCATCAAACTCCTTGAGGACCTTGCCACTCTGCTGCCGCTCTGGTGTACTTTCTGTCCTGCTAGTTAGTTTGCTTGTGGTTTTTTGTGATGAGGATGAGCAACAGACCACTCTACTCGGCCATCTTGCTGATGTGGCAACCCAGACTGTTCCCTTTGGGTCCTCTTTCTCTTCACATTTCAGTTTTAGAGGTTTCTTGTTTGACTGTTCTGCAATACTAGGGATAGAACCCAGGTGTTCTCTACCACTGAGCTACACTCCCCAGCCCTTTCTATTTTGAGATAGAGTCTTGCTAAGATGCTCAGGTGGGACTTGAATTTGTGATCCTCCTGCCTCAGCCTTCCTCCCAGTGTTGGTATTGGCTGTGGCCACCATATCCGTCTAGTTTTGGAGATTTCTATGGCTATATCCTCAAGCCCAAAGATTCTTTCTCCAATCATTCTAGTCTACTAATAAATCCCTCAAAAGCATTCTTCATTTCTGTTACCATGTTTTGATTTTGAGCAGTTTTTGGCTTCTTAGACTTTCCATCTTTCTATACTACCCAGTTTTTCTTGCACACTATTTTATTCATTACAGACCAAGCATAGTAATCATAGCTGTTTTAAGTTCCCAATCTGGTAATTCCAGCATCTGTACCATAGCCGAGTATGGTTATGCTACTTGCTCTTTTTTTTTTTGGTATTGGGGACTGAACTCGGGTCCTTGCGCTTGTGAGGCAGGTGGCGGAACCACTGAGCTAAATCCCTGGCCTTACTTGCTCTTTCTTTAAATTGTGCTTTTTGCCTTGTAGTATGTCTTTTAAATTTTTTTTTTTGTGGTACACTGGGGTATCATGATACACCAGGGTAAAAAAGATGGCTGTAATTAGGCAATGTGGTGGTGAAGTGTGGGGGAGTGGAAGCCTTCTATTGTCCTCTACGCAGGGCTGGGACTGTGCCTCTGAACTGTGAGCCTCACATGAGATTCACAGCCACCTAGCCCAGTGGGACAGGATGGCTAGAGGGGCCTGAAGGTACACATTTCCTTCTCCCACATGAAGTCTGGAGTGTACTGGACTTGGGCCTTTCCTTTCCCCCAGGTCAGCAAGGCTCAGATAAATCCTGGTAGGTTAGATGCTGGTTAAATAGTGCCCCCTGGGGCACATCTACTAAGAAGACCAGACTGCTCTGGCCTATCCCAGAAAGGCTCCTTTCCCCAACAAACAGGAGGTAAAATTCCCGAAGTGAGAGTCCCCGTGCGGGCTCCCTCTGGAGCTTTCTCAGGGTTTTCCGCACGGAGCCTCCGGCAACTCTTCAACCCATTCTGGTTTCCTACAGCAGCTGCACTCCTTCCCACTAGTTTCGGCTCTGATTTTCTGCTTCTGTTGTTCTCTCCAGTTTTGGAGGCCGTGTTCTGCACTATGATCTCACTTCTCTTTTGGACCTAAGAAGAGTTGTTGATTTTTCAGTTTGTTCAGCTTCCAATTTGTTGTTAGTGTAGAGTGGCAGTTTTCAAGCTTCTTACTTGCCAGACTGAAACCGCAAGTCCAGTGTTTTCTTTGAAATCCACACTGCCCCTCAGAATCCTCCATTACTGATATCAATATTTTAGAAAAACCCTCCATCTCTCTCCAACAAAATACTCAGCAAATCAGATAAATTAGCATTTTTAGATGGTGAAGGCCTCAATGTAAAACTAGTGTTAAATACTTTTTTCACTTTTAAAATTAATTCTGCAGATTTGATTTGTTTGAATTAATGTTCATGAATTTTATATAAAAATCACACATGGGCCAGGGATTTAGCTCAGTGGTTCCACCACCTGCCTTGCAAGCGCAAGGTCCCAAGTTTGATCCCCAGTAGCAAAAAAAAAAAAAAAAAAATCACACAAGCCAGGCACGGTGGCCCACCCATGTGATCTCAGCTCTCTGGGAGGCAGTAGGACTGCAAATTTGAGCTCTGCTTTGCAAACTTATCAACTTAGCAAGACCCTGTCTCAAAATACTACTAACAATAATAAATACAAAGACCTGGGGATGCAGCTCAGTGTGAAGGCCCTGGGTTCAATCCCTGTACTGTACCTCTCCCCCAAATCTGGAAAGGAAGTACGAAACTGTTCCCTTTACTTTTAGTGCAACAATAATACTCTAGTTGATAGGTACATGGCTCTTGTCTGGAAATCAAGAACCAACAAATATTTACAACATAGCAGACAGTATTAGATATTCCACACTTTTCTGGGTTTTGTTTTGTTAACTAAAGATAGTAGGGTAAAAACTTCCTTGTGACAGGACGTTTTTCTTTGGGAACAGGACACGATGACTTTGTCTGAGTATGATGAATGAACAGTAACCTTGGGTGGCTGTGTGTATCCAAAATAAATGCCTATCACAGGGAAGCTTATTGTTGCAGCTTTACAAAGAATGACCAGGTAAGCAAATGTAAAACAGAGTTTTCATTCATACCCCTCTTATAGATTCTGTCCTCAAATTAAGTTATTACCGGATTTGTAAAAATTTCTCTTTGAATATCCATGGATTCCATCTCTTGTGTTGGTAAAGGGATGCAGAAAGAAATTGGCAAAGCAAAATAACAGCAGAGGGCAGCCTGGGCTTGGAAACACTACCAGGCGCCGACTGCCCAACTCACGTGAAAGGATGCCCAGCAGGGGTTTACTGGAGTGGCCTGCTCGATGAGGGAGAAACCCCCACTCTTTTAGGGGTCACAATAGTGATCTGTACTGTGAATGTACAGTGGAAAAAACGGAGCGAGCTGAAATTTCCTTTTAAGTCTTAGAGAGGTTAAGTAAGTCATCTAAGTCATACAGCTAGTGAGAAACAGAATCAGAGTTTGCAGCAGGGTCTGCCCAAGTTCAGGTCTTTATTACTGTTACAACCGTTTTGTTTCCTATCACTGTTTTGATCATGAAACCTCCAACATAAATTAACAGATTTATATCCTTAGAAGAAAATAAACAATATCCTGCTTTTTATCTCATTTTTAACTCCTATGTTCTGCCAAGCCATTAGGAAGCAATACACACAAAAATTACATATAAAGACAACACAGTGCATATACTTCTGCCAGGCAAATCCCCTAACTCACCTGTTAAAATGATGCCCACAAACATCCACAAGCAGAGGAAAATGTTCCCTGCCCTGGGGCCATAATCTGTTATGAGCTTTCCTTGAGCTAATGTGAACAAAATTCCAAAAACCTGAAATAAGTGAAACAATTTGTATTAATTTTGCTTCTTTAAAACACATGTACATTTTTCCCCCAGGACCTTTTAAAACTAATATTCTTCACATATTTTGGCATCTAGAAACACTCACTGAAAAGTGAGACTGTTAAAACAAAAACTATGATCAAACTTATTATTCACTAGACTGTTTGGTACAACAGCCATCAAGACTAAGAGGAGCCAGAGGTTTACCTGGGCAGCAGCATTAAGAAGACCAGACGAAGTGCCCTCGGACTCAGGGTAAGTGATTTCCACGGCGAATTCAAACCCCAGCGGGAGGTAACCGGTCATGAAGAAACTAGGAAAACCAAGCCGGCATTATAGAAAGAACTATCAGAAGGACAACATCACACACTGACTCAACCATTCTATATCTCAGGCCTATTCCAATGTTTCAATCAGTGAGTATATTTTGAGGTTGTGATATGAAAGTGAGGAACTATTATTACTAACCAAGCAGCCCAAAGTCACAAGAACTGAAAATCCCAAAGATTTTTTTCCCCCTGATTTTTTCCTTCTACTTTTCTAAGTCAGCTGTTTTTATTACCAATAATGTTACTTGGACTCAGTAAGGCTTATACATTTTCATCAACAGACTTTCTTTCCTCCTTACTTTTGCTTTTCTTTCTTACTAGGGATTATACCCACCAGCTCCCCTTAAAAATTTTTTAGAAAAATTTTTGAGACAAGGTCTTGTTAAATCACTGTTTCCCATGCAGGGCTTGAATCTGCAATCTTCCTGCCTCAGCCTCCTGGAAGGCTAGGGTTACAGGTGTGCACAAGCACACGAGGCTAAACTATTTTTTACAGTTTTGAAGAATTATACACTTACATGCACACAATGGGTCTTGTAGGGTTAAACTACTAAAGGACTTTTGGATGAGCTTAAAAGATTAGTAAATTAAAGTAATAATACTTCAGAATTATAACAGCATGGTATCAGTTTTCCTAAATATATCTCATACTTACCCAAGTATCCCTCCAGTAACAAACACGATGATAATGTAGTCCAGGTCCAATGTGAAAGTAAATATAATCATTCCAATAAAAGACAGAATGTAAACTATCAGAGTAGTCTGTCTAAAACCAAACAACAAAATTGTTAGGAATTTTTCTAGGCATATAAAAATCATGTGACTAACCACTGCTCTATCCATACAGCAATAAATCTACATTTGAAAATTCACCCCTTCTTGTTTACAGAAAATGTATTCACCAAAACACAGCCTTTAAAGATTAAATTTAAGATTCAATAGCGGCAGGCAACAAAACTCACGCCATATCCAATGCTCAATCAGAAAAGGCTACTCATGAGTATTTAAGAATCCCATTCCACATGAATCCTATTTCAAGATTCAAATCAAATTTCCCCTCTTCCAAATGCCTTCCCTAGCCCCTACAGCATACAAGATTCTCTTCCCATCTCCCTTATCACCTACACCTACATACCTGGCACTTATGAGTCAATGTTAGTCTGTTACATTACCATTTAACTTTGCCTATGTGAGCGCCTTATTGCCCCCATTTAGAGGACAAGTCCCTTGGGGACCGAACTCACCTACCGCTGGCCATAACCCCCCAGCAGGAGAGATGTGCACAACAGGGGACGGATGAGAAAGAGGCAGTTACCTGGGAACCCAAGCTCCCCTAAGAACGTACTGCTGGCCCTGCCAAGTCTCCTAATCCATCATGGACCAAGACTACTAGGGAACTGAACCCTGTACACATGCTCCTTTCACCTACAAACTGAGCAGATTTCACTCTGAGCTGTAATTTTTTTGGGGCGGGGGATGGAACTCAGGACCTTGTACTTTCGAGGCAGGCAGCGGCACCACTGAGCTAAATCCCTGACCCTGAACTGTAATTTTATAATAAAACCACAGACAGTGTTGTGTTAAATTATGGGAGAATTATCCTGGAGAATTTCAAGGTCGGAGGTACTTCCAGAAGGGTTTAGAATAATACAGTAGTTAAATGTAGCTGGACCTTGAAAAGTGTACATGACTTTTCTTTCTCTCAATAAATTTTTCCTACTCTTAAAAAAAAAAAAGAAAAATGTACATGACAAAGTTCCGTATTTCACTCCATTCTTTTATTCACAAACAGTTCCACTCACTAATTTTCCCAAGCAGACAGGAGAAGCTTTAGCCCTTTAGATGTGCCCTGGGGCTAGGGGTGTAGTTCAGTGGGAAATCACTTGCTCAGCACTGGAAAGGTCCTGACTTGGATCCCTAGCACCACAGAAAAATATGATGAAAGAGAAACTGGCTAATCTTTTAAGGCCAAAGCAGAAGAATGCTGCCACTGAAACCCTGCTCTGGTCTCCTAGTCGTATCACTTCCTCTTTCTTTTATATTAAAAACACTCTTTCCATATACAGGCACAATTAAAATAGCATCTTCATACTATGCATTGTATTATAGTTAAATGGTACTGTGGTTTTATGGACATTTTGGTCAAAAGTTTTTTTACCAAAAGTCTTATCCTCAATGATTTTTTTTTTATAAGAACAGTATTTTGTATTTTAAGCCCACAGAAAAAGAAAAGAACAAGATCAAGTCTGTCAAAAGTCAAAGGTTCCTCAGAAGGAGCTTTTCTTTTTAAAATATAGATATGCTCCCTTCTAAAGTATGTATGGGTATTGTCAGAGGGGAAGAAGGTTCATATGGTATATCCAAATTCTCAAGGTTGAAATAAGTATGACCAATGAAATAAAACAATATATAGGTTATTGAAACATTTACGAAATGAAAGGATCCAGGAAATGTTTGGTAACACTTAAATCTCTTAAAATAAAAAAGGAAAGTTCTACAATCCAAACTACCCGTGTTCCCATCACTCACTTATATGTTTTGGTGTAGTCCAGCCATAAGCCACACAGAATGGAGCCCAGCATTCCGGCCACCACCAGAGTGAGCCCAATCCTTCCTGCATTCACCTCCTGATCCTGAAAACCACGAGCATGAGAAGCTTATCAGACACGGACCCTGCACACCCCACCCTGTCTGCAGTCATGGGAATCATCATGTAAACTGAGGCACACATTGGGAAGATTCAGTGCATGGATTAGAGTTGGTGAGCAGTGGCAAGTAAAAACAAATAAAGCCAGAAAAAATAAAAATAATGGGAGAAATAAAAAAAATTTCTTCGGTCCTCTGTGATTGAAAGTACAATTTTTGTTAGGATTCGTACATAATTTACAGATGTCTGAACAGGGTTTATATAGTACAGCTCCCTTCTTTTAGGAGCAGAAAGGCCACTCCGAACTTGGTATTTGCTTCTTATGTTGATTCCTTTGAAATGTTTTGCCATTTTCCATATATCAATAACTTACCTCCAAAACAAAACAAAACAGCATTGCCAGAGTGATAATTCTGCTTTCAGTTGGATGTGGCAGCATATGCCTGTAATCCCAGTGCTGAGGAAGGAGGCTTGAAAATCCAAGATCCACCTGAGCAACTCAGTAAGTTCCCGTTTCAAAAAATAAAAAGCACTGGGGATGTAGTATAGTACAAAGGCCCTGCATTCAATCCTCCATACCACCAAAGGAAAAAAAGTCTGCTTTTAATGTTTTAGGAATTTAACTAAATGTGTTTAATAAAAATTATGGCAATCACTGCTTTGGATTTAGCTCCTGCCCTGGGGCCAAGAGACCAGACAAATCCAGAATGGAATCACCTGTGCCAGGTGCCACAAGGTCACCACGAACATGAAAATGGCCCAGGAGTCACTGCAGCCCAAGAGAGGGAGCCCAGCCCTCTGCTTGGCCTCGTGAGGAAACTGCAATGTGATGACCAATCCACTCTGGGTCCTCATTTCTGCTGCTTCCGCCCTTCTCCGCCTATAAAGCCCATCCACTCCTGTTTTCGGAGCACCTTTCCCCTCAGGAGGGATGCTGCCCGATCCCCAAGCTCTTTCAATTCGGTAAAATTTTGCTTCACAAATGTGTTCTCATTAAAAACAAAGGTAAATCTTTTATACAACAAGATTATAACCCTAAATCTTATGATTATGCTAACAGGAATTATATGGAATAAAGAAAAATCCTAAGCAGGGTGTGCAATATGATAAAAAGAGAAGCTTACCTTATAATATGTCAGTATCATTTGGTTTAATAATGTTGAGACTGAATAAAATGCTCCAGTCATGATACCTAAAATAATAAAGAAGAAATTATATATGTATCATTTATCAGTTCATCAAGTGGCCCCGAGCACTGTGTGACAGCTGTGAAAATACAATGTAGTTTTTAGGCAGCTGAAAAATTAGTGACGACTACCATTCCCTTCCAGGATGTGTACTGATCAATTTAACACTAAAGTGACGAGGGATCAGTGCTATGGTTTGGCTGTGTCCCCCCAAGGATTGTGTGTCAGCTTGTCCCCAGTATGGTGGGGGTGAGGGGAGGGACCCTTCAGACGCGGGGCCTAGAGCAAGGTCCCCAGGAGGGGTTAACACTGGGCTCCCGGAGGTGTCGCACAGCAGCTGCTCCTTTGTGCTGGCCCCTTAGCTCGGGCCACTGCCCATTTGCTCCTCTCCCACACTGGTGTAGCCAGGCCCTCAGCACCCACTGAGCAGACGGGGTCACCAGATCTTGGACCTTCAGCCTCCAAAGCTGAAGAGGCTAAACAGACCTCTTTTCTTTACGAAATTCCCAACCTCAGATGTTTTGTGATAGCAATAGAAAATGGATTGGGGCTGGGGATTTAGCTCAGTGGTTCCACCGCCTGCCTTACAAGCGCAAGGTCCTGAGTTCGATCCCCGGTACCAAAAAAAGAAAAGAAAATGGATTAATATGTTACATTAGCAGACTTCCGTCATAAGACTGTTGTTATTTAGATTCAGATATACTGACCATAAACCACATCCCCACACACGCCACTGTACACAGTGACCCCTCCACCCACAGGTTATGTACTGAGCACCCACAGTACCTACAGCCAACAATGTTAAAAGCACAACAGAATCCCTATTTCAGAGAGATTAACTTGGATCAGATTTACAGGGTAATTTGTTACACAAGGCAACATTAACTGAAGAATATTCACAAAGAGAAAATTAACAACAGCAGGAATCACCAGCACAGGTTTAAACCCTAATGTATCCTTGAATGTACTGAATGAATTTTGGTAAGCTTCCTGACCTAGTTGAGATTTAGTACAATCTCAATCAATCAATCTCTCTCTCACATTCCAGACACACAAACACTACAGAGAACACTATAACAAATAACCTTACTCACCACCCAGCTCTGTCAAATATTAGTGCTCTGTCAACTTTCCTCAGATTCATTTTTTGTAGACCTTTCCCAATCCTAGTCTTCTCTTCTTTCCCAAGGCTAACCCCAAGCTTGACACTGGTGTGCATAATTTTATATATTACTGTACATGTACATTTCAAACAATTACTAACTTTATATAAATACAATTATTTAAATCCACTTGTAACTTGCTCTTATGCTGTGACTCACTATTATGGCTTTGAGCTCTATCTGTGTTGACACTTTTCACCCTTGTTCATTAGTTTTCTCTGTTCATTCCACTGTGGGAATATACTTAGATTTAGACATCTATAGTCCTATTAACAGACATCTAAGAGTTTTTTCCCAGTTTTCCATTATTTAAAACAAGACTGTAATGAGCATGTTTTTGTTCTTACATGCAAGGGTTCCTCCAAGAATATATCTAGGAGAACTTCTACTTTTTTGATGTAATCCAATCACTTTTAAGGTAATTACCCATTTATACCACTAGCAGAGTTTCCATACCTTCATATCTTAGCCAAATTTGTCTTCATCAGATTTTTAGGATTTGTTTTGTTTTCTGGCAATCTGAACATGCATACTAGTCTATCTTACTCTGGCTTTGATGTATATGCCCTGTATTACTAGCATGGTGTAGCATCATGTATGAACAATACATGCATGTACACATGACCACCTTCTAGTTTTCTCAGAATTGTGTTTTTATTGATCTGCAAGTTGTTTTTTTTTTTTGGTACCAGGGATCGAACTCGGGACCTTGAGCTTGCAAGGCAAGCGGCAGAACCACTGAGCTAAATCCCCGGCCCTGCAAGTTATTTTTATGTTATGGATAGTAATCCTTTATTGGTTATAAATACTCCAGACAATTTCTCATAATCAACTGTTTTGTCTTTTCATTTTTTTAATGGTGTCTTTTTAGAAAAGACTATTATTTTGATGTAGTCATATTTATCAATATATTTCTTTAGGATTTATGTTACTTGCATTAAGAAATCCTTAAGAATATTACAGTCTGCTGTATTTGTTCCTAAAACTTTATAGTTCTGAGTTTTACTCTTTGATCTGCAACCCATTTTGACACATGATATGATATGAAGTGGAGACCTCCAATTCCACCTTACTTTCCCCATATGGTCAATTACCTCAGACAATTTACTAAGTAAGTTCTCTTCTGCCAAACCTCAAGTTTTCATATGTTTATATTGGGCCAGTCACTGGATCGGTTTGTAAACATTCTAGTTTTTCTTTTTCCAGGCGCGGCTGTGTGACTTTAAATGTGACCAAGGTCACACTCTCTATTTCCCGCCTCGGTAACTGTGGAATGGGGTAGAGATGTCAGAGTCGTGAGCAGAACTGTGCTGCCAACTGATACCTAAGAAGCACACCGGTGCTATCAGGCCGCTAACCCGGCTCTGGCGGCCTCGCTGGTCTAGTGTAACTTAGGCTATGACAAGTGATGGTCACACAGGCGGGCCCCGTGGTCTCTGGCGTTCTAGCGGTCTACCCTAGCCCTTGCTACTCTTGGCATCTCAAGTATCCTAGCTTTATAAATCTTGACAGCTGAAAAGGAGCCCCCACCTGGTTCTTTATCAAAATTTTCTTTGTTGCTCTAAGCCCTTACTTCTCTCAAGGAATTTTGGAATTAGTCAGGTTCTATTACGATCCCTGCTTAAGCAAGGCTGCAGGAGATCTGCAGCTGGTCTGAATGGCACTGGCCCTTTGTTAGTCACTCAGCGCCCGGAGAGTGTGCAAAGCACCTAGACCGCACGGGCTCACAGGGAAGGCTGAGGGTGCAAGTGAGGCTGGGCCAGGGCAGAGTGCACGCCGCTGTGCCGCACCGTGGTACCTGGAATCTGGTCCAGACCCAGGAAGGACAGCAAGAGTCTGGATTTGTAGCAAGGCTGGCTTTGTGGTCTGAATTAGAGGATGGTAATATCTGCATTTTAGATAGCAAAAGACAACTGCTGGCATAGTGAGAAATTTTTTTCTCTAAACAGCCTGGCCTCAACAAAGAAACAAAGAAACAAACAAATAAACTTGTCTTGGTTCCTTTGGTTCCTGAGTTTTGGACACTATGTACGCAATTCTGAAAAGCTGCTCCAGGAGTCCTGGTCCCCAACTAGATTGTTCCACGTGCAAGATTGCTGCAACCTCACATACCGAATACAAAGCACACAGCGGGACAAGTGTTTGCCCAAAAGGTGTGGCGCTACCTTCACTCAAACATTATGCTCCCGAGCTCTGCACCCAAGAAACTTCCCATCCAACTGTAACGGAGCCATTGTTGAACTCTTTGCCTGTGTAAACACACTGAGAGGGTGAAAGAAATAGTGGCACAGAACTGCAGAGATCAGAAGGAAGGTGTTTGCACGCGGAGCCGTGTCTGCGTGCTGAGTCTGTCTGGGACAGCGCTGGTTCCAAGCCTGGCGGAGAGTTTTGTGCTGGAAAATAGTGAGGGATAAAAGAGCGATACAAGAAAGTCATCTTCAATGACAGCCTGAGGAAATCAATTTGGTGTCACACATAATAGTGAGCCAGGGCATTTCCCTGCTTCCTAGTTTTGAATTTTAGGTTTAACCTAGACAGGAAAATCACCAGCAAAATTAAGAAAAATATTCAAGGATGAGAGGATATAACATAGGAGACTGGCTTTAAAATATTCCAGGAAAAAAATGAGGGAAATAGACAAAAGAAGAGTGACAGAAAGCTGGCAACCTGGGTGACTTCGGACACACTTGATGGGTCCAGAGGAGCTACAGAGATTCAAGGTTCTACTTTTGCGGCTCGCAACACCCATTAGAAAGAGAGGAACTAATCCAGGGAAAAGAATTAAGAGTTCAAGTAAGGACATGATTTGTTACAATTCTAAAACGTTATGTACTAGGATGCATGCCTGCAAACACGTGAAAACAGCAGCAAGTGACTTCTGAAGTGAAGCAGGACAGAAACGGGGTCCTGGTGGTCAACATGTGCAGTGTCAACGCAAGCGACAAAACCCAAACTGTCCAAAAACTCTGAAAAGAACCAATGTGTTTGTACCTGTAGTCAGGGTTACAGAGTTAAAGGTGAGGATAAATACACGTTAGCTATCCCAAAAGATCTAGAAAGATGAGAATTGTTTTTAAAATGAGGACTGGTTACAGTGACTTCCTTCATGTCTAGTTCTCATGTGGGAGTCAAAAAAGACACTAGCTGCACTTGGTGAAAGAAAGGAATTGTTGAAATTTCCCACATGTTTATAGCACCCATAAATCCAGTCATAAATGGGCTAAGGTACTCTTCGAAAAATCACAAAAGACATTATTTCTCTATTTGAGATCTATTTTTTCTTGTATTTTAAAACATGTGAAAAAAATCCACCTTAGCATTTTTGCTTTTAGTTCAAAATCTAAGTTCATGATTACGCTGTGGAGTTCACAAACCAATCTCATTAAGATTCAAACCACCATGTTAAATGAAAACAATTCATGTTGCTCAGTGACTTCAAAGAAAATGCAAGAAAACCACTTACCGTAAGAGATCAGCAGAAGGACGAAAGGAATGTTTTTAAACAGGTTTCTTATCGATTTCTTATAGGAGTACTCCTCTGGGGGACTGTCCTGAAGAGCTGCTTGAGCCTGACTCGGTGGGTATGGGGGTTTTTCCTTGAATGCTGGGAATGTACATGGAGAGAATAATATGGATCAATATATAGGTAATATATTGCCACATATATAAGTGTATGTATCTTTCTTAGTGAACTGACAATTCAGCTTAAGTTTAAAGAGGTATAGAAGGCTTTCACAGTGAGGTTTCTCATTTTCACTCATTTCTACGTAAAAACCAGTTTGGCATTATCATCTCAGCCCTCTAAAACTTAAGAGATTTGGCCAGTTCCCACAGCTGAGCTGCAAAACCATCAGTAAAGTGCCACCAGCTTGACCACTGATTATTCCACTTTTAGGTAATCAAGATCAATTTTTACTACATCAAAGATTCTTTTAAATTCAGTTCAATTTATAATTATAAGTAGACATTAGAGTGAGCCAATATACTGCTGAACTTTTAGAGGTCTCTCCTGAATTAGTAACTATCTTCTCCTGCAACTTGTATAAAGTTAATCCCCAATCCAGTGACACCTCCAGCTGAAAGGTGCAGTGGATTCCGGGGGTGGGGCTAGGCCTTTCTCCCTGACTCACTGGAGCTGCACAGGAAAATGTAAGGGTAAAGCTAAGAGACAGGAAAGTGTAGGGTGTCTGATGCTGTAAACATCAGCACTGTTTCTAGTTCGATTTCACACCATTCTCAGCCAGATATCAAGAACCTCCCCTACTTAAAAAAAAAAAATCATACTTATTAATTTATGTTAGAGAACTGGGTATTGAACCCAGGGCTTTGCCCATGTGAGGCAAGGGCTCCATCACTGAGCCACATTCCCGGCCTTAGAGATTCTCTTTCGGTGTGCCAGGAAGGGTCTAGCAACTTCCTACAACACGAGGTAAGAGGGAGACTTTGGTAGGGTTAGTGCTATGGTGTGGAAATTGTGCCCCAAAGGCCCAAGTGTTAAAGGCTCAGTCCCAAGGAGGCAGAAGACTCCCCAGAGTGGGCACCTTCCAGGATGGGCCTCAGGTTATGTTACGGGGTGTGCATTTGGAGGGAGCTGCAGGACCCAGGCCCTTCCTCTTCGTCTCTTTTGCTTCCAGATTCATAAGCTGAGCAGCTTCCTCCACCACAGACTCCCCACCACCACCGCCCAGCACATCCATCAGAAGCCTAAAGCAATGAGTCGGGCCAACCATGGACTAGAACTTCCAAAATTATGAGTCAAAATAAACCATTTTTCTTCATAAGCTAGTTCTCTCAGGTATTCTTTTATAATAGTGGAAAGCTGTCTAACAGTTAGCTGACCAGAAGTCATGAATAAGTGACAGAAAAGTTGAAGAGTTGAAAAGCTGAGAGAAGGTACATTAGGAATTAAAATCTTATCTTTGTAGTAGCCCAAAATTCTAAATTATTCACTCCAGATTTTTAAGTACAATAGGAAGAAGATACTGTACCATGGAATGTAAGATACCTCCGCTCACTGATCTTGCCAGATATCAACAGGTTTCCACATAACAAAGTCTCCATTACCATAAATGTTTTTGTTTGTTTTGGTACCAGGGATCAAAAGAACTCGGGACCTTTCGCTTGTGAGGCTGGCACTCGAACCACTGAGCTAAATCTCTGGCCCTGTGTTTTGTTTTTTTGGTACTGTGGATGGAACTGAGGACCCTGCGCTTGCGAGGCAGGCTGTGGAACCACTGAGCAAAACCCCCAGCCCTCCATTACCATAAATGTTAGATGTCACTATTAAAAGTATTTTGTTTTCAAAGGTTTCATCAAAAAATGTATCCCTGAGAATTAATGAAACAGGGTAATTTTAAAAAGAAAAAAACAAGGTAAACAGATTCAAGGAAAAAAATCTTTCTTGGGAAGATTTATAACTTCTGCTTTTCATCTTCTCTCACATTTCTGCCCTTCTTTCTCTTTTTCTTCCTCCTTTTGTTCATGACAAATTCTTTCTTCCAACAAGTGAGGTCCATCTTATAGCCTGAAAGTGGGCTAGATCTGATGAAACTCGCTGTCAATTGGAATCATTTGGAAATTTAAATATAATACAGATTCTGAGACTGTACGCAGGGCTTGATAATCAGAACCTCTAGACTGTAACTTGAAAATTGAATTGATAAAGGGTGATTAAATAGTGAGTGCTGAAAGTCTTTATTATGGTAAAAGACATGTTGCCATGAATCCCCCTCAAAATATTCTTCCTTGCTTCAAACATACTTACCCTATCGTTCTCGTCACTGGAACAGTCTTTTTTTTTTTTTTTTTTTTGGTACCGGGGATCGAACTCAGTTCCTTACACTTGCAAGGCAGGCGGTGGAACCACTGAGCTAAATCCCCGGCCCCCTGGAACAGTCTTTTACATCTTAGTTGTAACGCTCTAGTTGCCTCAATGTCCTGAACTTATTCCAAATGTTTACCTTTCATGGCCATTTTGACTTTGAGGAAGAGCTGAAAGTCACACAGTGCCAGATCCAGTGAATGAGGTGGATGAGGACACACTAATGTTTTTACGAGCTGCCTTTCTCTTGAATGGAACTCAGCAGCAACATTCACCCTATTGTTGATCACACCTTGTAAAGACACTCAGGAAAGAGGACTTCAAGAACTGCTTTAGAAAGTGGCAAAAATGGTGTCATAAATGTGTTCAAAGTGAGGGGGAGTGTACTGAGGAGGATTAATATCAATGTGCCGTTCATTGTAATAAATATTTTTAAATATCTGTCATCCCTTTTGATCACACCTTGTATATTAAACACAAAATTGTCCACATGATCAATATATCCAACCAGGCTTAAAAAGTAACTCTTTTTTTTTGGCACCCAGGATCGAACTCGGGACCTTGTGCTTTCGAGGCAGGTGGCAGAACCACTGAGCTAAATCCCCGGCCCTAAAAAGTAACTTTTATTGGGCTGGGGATTTAGCTCAGTGGTTTCATCACCTGCTGCGCAAGAGCAAGGACCCAAGTTCATTCCCGGGTACCAAAAAAAAAAAAAGTAACTCTTATTACTTCCACAAAATAATATGAATCTCTATAACTTTATTTGGTACTAAAAAAGAAAATTCTTTACTGACCCAAACATTAATTATGATATAACTTAAATTTATCAAACTAAAACATACTACTTCTATTTTTCCATTCTTATACATCTCACAACTGATTCAAGAGTAGCTATAATTCATAAATATAGACTATGTAATATCCTTACATTGGAGCACTGGTAGATGTGAAACCTTTAAGCTGTTCCAATTCTTCCTCTTCCTCTCACCCTATCTGATCCTCGCACTGCTAGGATGTCTGCCGCCTTTCCCTGAGTCCCTTTGTACCCTAATTAGACATGACACATCTCTTTATTAACACTGGTAATACAGAACTCACAGTTGTAAACAGTGTCAGACTGTGAAAACTGCTCACAAGACACTCGTGGGTAGTGACTGTCAAGTCCCCTTCTTAGGTTTTTATTTACTGTGGTAAAGTCAGTCTAAATGGCCCAAATCTGAAGTCAAAATTTCGTGGAAAAACAAAAAAACAAAAATAATTCTTACCCGTCTTTAACTCCACTAGATTTATTTTCCTTTTTTTTCTTTTTTTCTTTTTCTTTGTGGTACCGGGGATCAAACTCAGGTCCTTGTGCTTGCAGGGCAGGCGGCAAAACCACTGAGCTAAATTCCCGGCCCTATTTTCCTTTTTTTAAAGATTTATTTTCTAAATACAAGCATAATCTTTTAGTTTCAGATGATCTCTTGGCAAAAACAAGTCTCTATCTAGCTGCTACACTTAGTAAAGTCATATTTAAATCAGCATTAAAAAAAGATGAACAGGGCCTGGGATTTAGCTCAGTGGTTTCGCCGCCTGCTGCGCAAGCGTAGGGACCCGAGTTCAATCCCCAGTACCAAAAAAATAAAATAAAATAAAATATCTTTAAAAAAAAAAAAAAAGATGAACAAAAAGCCATTGATCTATGACCTTGTGATGGTGAATTACTATGATGAATATGGTTTCTCCTTTCTCTTTGAAACTGAATAACGACAGCCTTCCACTCTTCTTCCCTAAAATACTTGTGCCACAAAAATAACTGACTACAGAAGCGGTCATTTTCTACCCTGGGTTAGGCATATAAAGTAGCCAAGTCATTCTTGGGCACCATATCTGAACCTTTCCTCCTAGCATGAGTATGTAGCATACCACTTGCTTGTACTTTCTGAAATCATATTGTAACAGTACCTTCTGATTTCATTTTGTATCCCTGTGTGGTTCGAACATTTACATATACTACCTTATTTTAGGCCAAATGTAGGTTTGAACACCGGCTCTGCCCTATCTCACTGTGTAATTTTGAGGAAGTAAATTCCTGTATCTTGGCTTTTAGCTTTCTCATCTATAGGATGGAAATAATAACACAATGTTATAAGGATTGCATGACATAAAATATGTAAAAGAATTTTGTAATTATACAATGATACACAAAATACATTACCTTTTCTGAGAAATATTTTTAAAAATTAGAGACTTTGCCTCAGGAGCTTAAAATTTTTAGTGTATAAAATATATTCCTGTTACAGTCATTTTGAATAGAAGAGTCAAAATTAAATTGTGCATATGTTATATATACCTGGGCTTAAATACAGTAATATTAAATATTTCTACTGCCATTACCTTTGGGTTCTGTCATTCACACACTTTACTGAATCAGGGAAGGATTTTAATTGACACATTTGAGTGAAATGATAAGCTTACTGCTCTGCTGCACAAGAACAGATTTTAAATACAACAGCACTACCACTTACACAAGCAGAATCTGAACTGGAACAGAAAACCAAGGACAAGGAAAAATTAAAATAATCTACTTTTTAGGTAACATTTTCTATATGGAGTGAGAGTGCCTAAGCATAAATCTGATTTTGAGTGTTTAGTAACTGTGATTTCGAGCAAATTAAATTTAAGTTCTGTGACCCAGTTCCCTCATGTGTAAAATAGAAGTGATAGCAGCCGTACCTCCCGCAAAGGGTTTTGAGATGCAGCATGCCTATGCCTCTACCCACGTTTGGCACGAATCAACCACCAGATGTGAGAGGGACAACAGAGTTTGCCCAAGAAGAACAGGGAATTCAGTGGAAAGCCTGGATTAATTCCTAGAAATACCAGATGGATTACATTCACAAACACGTTCTGTAAGGGAGAGGAAAAAGTCCATGGCCTGAATCTTCAAGACAGTATTTTACAGATTGCTGGTATCTACTCAGTACACGTCATGTTGCTGAAAACTTCAGCTAACTTATTTTATAAAAATTTGGTTGGCTTTCCAAAGTAATTATGGGTAGAATTTAGAGGGGCATAGGGTCATCTCTTAGTAATTAAGGAATTTTAAATAAGTAAGGATCTTAAAAATAATCCGAATTTTCCTCAGTAACAAATATGACCATACCTATTATTATTATTTGGCCCCTTCTTTCAGCAAATAAGTATCTTATATTTGAGGCAGTTTAAACAAATAAATATAATTTTATATATATATATATAATATGTAGTATATATTCAATTTCATACTCATTCATAACTTACATATAGTTTATTATTCTTTCTTCTTCCAAACAGAAAACCAATTGAAGATGATATAAAAAGAAAAACTGGAATTTATGGGACAATATATAAGCAAAGGAAAGAGAAGTTTATGCTTTAAAAATTCTTCTTGGTAGCACTGAACAGTGGCTTGTGTCTATATTTCCAGTTGCTCAAGAAGCTGAGGCAGAAAGATGTCAAGTCTGAAGCAACACAGCAAGGTCTTGTCCATAAAAAAATTCCTAATGGAAGGTCCATTTATGCAAATGTATATAAACAATAATTCCTATTTCATGTAACAAGTCAAATATAGCTACCAGAAAAGCAGATTTAAGAAAGTTTCCCACACATACAATATAGATTTTTTTTTTTGGTACCAGCAATCAAACTCAGGACCTCGTGCTTGCCAGGCAGGCACAGTGCCACTGAGCTACATCCCTGGCTCACAGATTTCTTTTAAAACTATTAAACTGCTAAAATGGTATAGGGATAATTAATCCTTTTGGTCCCTTTTCAGTAGTTTGCACACTGCCAATATGCCACTCCCTGACTAACTGAAGTATAAATACTAACCACAAGCAGACTGTCCATGTCAGAATACTTTACTTGCTACCCTGAGAACACTTTGTTCATTGTCGTAAGGGAAATTAGGTACGTGGGCTGAGCTTCCTATACCTGCATCCTTCAGTTCACCAACCAATGCAGTCTACTGAAACACGCTAGAGCAGCAATGGGGAAACCTTTAGAGCTTTCAATGATACAAAGAGGTCACTGTGGCACTCGTGCCAGCCACAGGCTTGGTACCACTGCTCTAGCCTTTAGCACACATTTCTCTCAAAACTGAGGATTTCACATCTGAGTATTATAAAATATAGATTTTTCATTACTATGATAGCCATGGTAAAAGTTGATGTATAAACTTAAAATCTCCAACTGTAATGCAGTTTAATTATAAATTTTAGTGATTAGAAGATGGCTTTTCAATTTTATACTTCCTTTCCTCTTCAAATCCATTTAAGATACTATGTGCCTAAAGGACATTATTAAGTTATATTAGCAGTTCAATAACTTAAATCCATCTTACCTATCATTTCCCCCTGAAATCAAAACTGCTTCCCATTAAAAATAAACTTCAAAAAGCAGACCTTCCCAAGCTTCTTCCAAACTGGTGATGGCTGCTTGCAGCTGATTCTGACTGACTGCTTCAAGAGACAGGCCCAGGCGAGAGGACTCAGGGACGGGTGGCAGCAGCCGAGCCTTGCTGGAGTGGCCTAACAAGCAGACAGTTGCCACAGTTTGAAATTCTGCTGGACACTTGCTGCTGCCTAGATCATTGCTGGTCAACATTTTCAGACCCAGTTAATCTTAAATTGGGGACCCTGGGGAGGATTTATTACTAAAAGGAAGATGGGCTCCTAACTGCATCAATTCAAAGCATGACAAGAACTTATTCTTGGCTAGGCAGGTGTAAGATGCCCATGTAGATGAACATGGGAAGAGGAGGCAGGAAGTATGTTTGAAACCAACACTTATCAGGAAGAAAAGTTAGTAGGGAGATAAAGGAAACGGATTAGTCTTAAATCTCTTTAAGATATTAAAATCACGTAGTGGGCCAGAACATACCCCTAGGGCTGTACCATTCATTACCTGAGCAACAGTTCCCAGCAAGAATGAAACAAGCAAATGGCATTTGAGATTTTATCGGTAAAAAATTTCCAAGATTAGTTACTCATATATATCATGCATTTATCCAAGCTTTAGGGAAAATAATCCACTTACCAATTGCTGTTAAAATAAATAAAAGTGTGGAGACACCCGATGTCCCGTAAAACATGGTGCTGATATTATAAGCCAGGAGATCTGTATTATTCTGTGTGTTGGGAACTAAAACAGGTGGTAGCAAAAAGCCAACTGCAGTTCCAAGCTGTAAAATAAACAGTCCTGTTAACAGCTATTATCATTAGAGGAAAAAAGTAAATACTGGCACTTAGTAGAACATAAGGAGGACAAACTAGTGTTAAAACTATGTTTAAATGTCTTTGCTACTAGTGTATTGCTAAAAGGAAACTGCTGACAAATCCCTTTCCTATCCAACAAACACTGAGATCTACTAACTGAATGATTCTGTAAGACATAGCCTTGCTCTTCAGATGCTTACGATCAAAAAGAGGAGAAAGAGTATATTAAATAGGGCTGAGAAAAGAATGAGAAAAAAATACTAGCAAATGAGGGACTAGCATCCAGAATCAGGAACTCTTTCAACACCAAAAAGACAAAACCCCAATTTAAAAATGGGCGAAGAATTTGAAGAGATCTTTTTCCAAAGAAGACACAAAAATGGCCAATGAATACTGTTGCATGAATAACAAAATTAGTCATCAGGGAAATGGAAATCGAAATGACAAAGAGATTCTACCTCCCACCCACTAGGAGGGTTATAATAACAATAGCAACAACAGAAAATAACAAGTATGGGAAGAACACGAAGAAGCTAGAAACCACTTCACTGCTGATAGGATTGTAAAATGGGGGGCTGCCACTGTGGACAAGTTTGGCGATTCCTCAGAAAGTTTTAACAAATAGTTACCATATGACCTAGCAATTCCATAACTAGGTGTATATCTAAAAAACCGAAAACAGGTATTCAAATAAATATATGCAAATGTTCACAGCAGCCCTATTCACAATATCCAAATGTGACAATATGGCAAATGTTTATCAGCGGATAAATGGATAAACAAAATGTGGCACATACAGTTATACATAAAAAATGACTGAAGTACTGATACTGAAGTACTAGTACAACATGAACTTCAACAACATGGAAAGTGAGGGCTGGGGATTTAGCTCAGTGGTTCCACCACCTGCCTTGCAAGCACAAGGACCCGAGTTCGATCCCCAGTACCAAAAAAAAAAATAGTAAAGAGTTTACATTTTAAATACTATGGGAAACCACTGGCAAGTCCAATGCAAGGCAGGGACATGATCTGATGTGTTTTAAAAGGTTCTTTCTGCTCAGACACCTACAGTATACATATGAAGTTAAAAGGTAGATTTCAGAAACCAGACTTGAGTGTGAATGTCATCACTACTAGCTATGTGACCTTCAGAAAACACTTTGATCCCTTCAAGCTTCTGTTGTCCTATCTACCAAATGGGACTAATAGTTCATAGGTTAGAGTATTAAAGTAATGACAGTGCACACAAAGCACTCAGCATATTCCCAGGCTCTTAGTGAGCACTCAGTAGAGCTCAACACTATTATGAATGACCCTCTATAAACTAGGCTCAGAACATATACTTGGAGCTAGGTATGGAGGTGCATGCCTTATTAATCCTAGCACCCTGGGAGGCTAAAGCAGGAGTTCAAGCTCAGCCTGGTGAACTTAGGGAGACCTTTCTCAAAATAAAAAGGGCTGGATATGCAGCTAATGTGAAGGCCTTGGGTTCAATCACCGGAACTCCCCGCCCGCCCAAAAAAAGCATACTTGGGAGTAGTGAGCAACTGCACAATTCTTAAAGGGAAGGAAAGGGTGAGAAAACCTAAAGAGAATGCAGAAAGAGGACCCAGAAGTGTGCTGCTGTACGGAAGTCTGCCTATACAGTGCGGTACACATTTCCACTTATCACCTGTAGAGCCAATAATCCATAAATAATGCAGTTGATGATATTTCTGTCACACTCCATGAAGCACTAACCTTGATTGCAGAAGCAACCAACTAAAGATTCAGTCATAAATTATTTGGGATGCACAGCAACTATGGTTCAAGCTACCCTTTTTTCTGTATTTGAGAAAGATAATAAAGCAATGAGCATGTAATCTTTTAATGTATTTTAAATAAATCTTACTGTGATCTTCCAACTTTTTTTTTTTTTTTGGTTCTGTGGATCGAACTCGGGTCCTTGTGCTTGCAAGGCAGGCGGCGAAACCACTGAGCTAAATACCCAGCCCAATCTTCCAGTGATCTTGAAACAAGTGTGAGAGGGGAAGTAAGAAAGTGACGTTCTTTTGTTACATAGCTACATGTCGCAGCATAATATGTAGTGTGGTGAAGTGTTGGTGCTTACATTTTTGGGCTGAGGGTGTGGCTCAGAGGCAAAGCATTTGCCTAGCAACGCTTGAAGGCCTCGAATGATACCCCAGCACTACCTAAAAATAAAAAATAAAGCATTTTAAAATGCTACTGTTCAGCAATTTAAATCTATTAAGTTTAAGGGTAAAGTGGTGTGGAGATTTTTAACTGGTGTCCCCTCTAGTTGAATGAACACCCAATATAATTTACAAAAAGTGTCACAGGACCTCATGTGCAGAATTTAAATTACAGTAAGAGAATCAGTCTGCAAAGAAGCACAGGCAAAAAACATTCTATCCAGTAGTGCTTCTGCAATGCGAAGGGCACTGGAATCCTGGTGTTGGGAAAGACTAGGTCACTTTTAGGAGACTTGGCAGATTCAGCCACCCTTGTGCAACACACTCCATGACCACTGATCGTTGTGCACTGTCCTACTGACAAAACTCAGTAACTGGACCCACTAATTCTGTGAAGTCTGTATCACTGGAACGTTTATTTAATGCTCCTTTACACATGTCCACTATGTGCAGGCTCTGCGATGACTGCTAACATATAAAAATATAAAATTAAATAGGGGCTGTTCACAATGACCACTCAACACGGTAACAAACTTCCCAGAATCCAATATACCTTCCTTTTGGAAACCACACTCTGGGGACAATAATTCCTGTGCAAGTCTGGCTCATTATTACACTGACAGGTTTTCTCTGACATTTGTACACACAGGCCAATCCAGTTAACTATTTTACAGATAATTTTCAAAGCAACACGACAGGGTGGTCACTTTAGACTACTTTTGAAAGTTCCATCCTTACAAAGAAATCAAAAGCCACCTTTAAGACTGCCTCTTGCAGATGTGGTGGTGCATGCCTACAACCCCAGCACTCTGGAGGGGCTGAGACAAGAGGATGACTGGAGTTCCAGGACAGCCTGGGGTAGGTAATAAGTTCAAGGTCAGCCTGGACTACAGTGAGACCCTGTCTTTAAAAAAAAACAAACCCCTAGGGCCAGGGATTTAGCTCAGTGGTTCCGCTGCCTGCCTAGAAGGCACAAGGACCCGAGTTCGATCGCCGGTACCAAAAACAAAACAAAACAAAACAAAAAACCAACAAAAAAACCCCCTTACAACTACTCAGCCTCTCTTCCGGTAGATGCCTCCGGGGACCCATTCATATGCTTAGCTCACAGGGCCTACGGCTCTTTTGGGTCCTGTAAGCATCCTACTTCCCCTCATGCCCCAGTCCTTACCTGATTGCCCAGCACGGCGGTGGCACAGGCTGTGGACACCTCCCTGGGCCCAAACCACACCGAGGCGATGCGGGAGGGAAGGCCAAGGATAAAGACCTGGGCCACGGAGCACAGGCACTGGCCGAGCATGGTGACCCAGAAGAGGTGCTGCCGCACGCTGCCGCACTTGACCCAGGCGCCCAGGCAGTTGAGGCCGGAGCCCAGCAGGGCGGTGAGGCGCAGGCCTCGGGTGTCCAGCAGCCAGGTGGCCGGGAAGATGAGCGGCACGTAGGCCAGCATGTACACCATGGACAGCCAGTCGATGTGCAGCAGCGACACGCCGTAGAAGCCCTCGAACACATTGCTGATGATGCTGTACTGGATCCACTGGAAGGCGTTCACCAGCGAGTAGAGGCTGAAGAGGAGCAGCACCACGAAGCGCCGCGCCGACAG